GACGGGCCGACACTTGGCCACGTTTACCCGTAAGCCGGGGTCGAGCCTGTACACACTGACTACTAAGTCTCCTCCGGCTGCTGAGTCAGGTCAGGTAGCTGCGTCGGGTCAGGTGTTAGCTGCAACGTCCATGTCTGGTCCTGAGTCTGCCCCCTGCTCGTGTCGTCTCCTGTCTCACCAGGCTCTCCTCTGGCACCACCGCCTTGGTCACCCCTCCCTGCCTCGTCTCCGAGGCATGGCCTCTCGTTACCTTGTCTCTGGTCTCCCCCGGTCCCTCCCTCCCCTCCCTCCGGGGCCTGCCCCTACCTGCGTTCCCTGCGTCGAGGGGCGGCAGCGCGCCGCTCCTCACTCCTCCGAGTTTCCTCCGACAGAGGTTCCGCTGCAGACACTTCACCTGGACGTGTGGGGCCCCGCCCGCGTCCGTGGCCAGGGTCACGAGCGTTACTTCCTGTTGGTGGTTGACGACTACTCGCGTTACACCACAGTCTTCCCCTTGCGCAGCAAGGGTGATGTCACAGGGGTGTTGATCGACTGGATCCGCGCAGCTCGTCTCCAGCTCAGGCGGAGTTTCGGCTCGGACTTTCCTGTTCTGCGTCTGCACTCTGACAGAGGCGGGGAGTTTTCCTCTGCCCGTCTGGGAGCCTTCTGTTGTGCACAGTGCATCCGCCAGACCTTCACATTTCCAGCCTCTCCACAGCAAAATGGGATTGATGAGCGCCGCATTGGCATGGTCATGGACGTCGCTCGTAAGTCCATGATCCATGCGGCTGCTCCCTATTTTCTGTGGCCGTTCGCGGTTCAGTACGCGGCGCATCAGATCAACCTTCAGCCCCGGTGCTCCTTGCCGAAGACCTCCCCTACTCTGCGGTGGACCAGGAAGGTTGGCGATGCGTCAGCGTTTTGTGTCTGGGGATCTCGGGCTTTTGTCCGCGACTTGTCTGCGGACAAGCTGTCACACCGTGCTGTTCCCTGCGTCTTCCTTGGCTTCCCCCCTGACGCGCCTGGTTGGCAGTTTTACCACCCCACCTCGCGCCGTGTTCTGTCCTCCTAGGACGTCACGTTTGACAAGTCGGTTCCTTACTACCGTCTCTTCCCCTACCGCACTGCGCCCCTCCCCCCGCCACCACTCTTCCTCGTGACAGGTCCCCCCCGGTAGACCCCCTTCCCCCTCGGGGTCCTGCCCCCTCAGGTGTGTCCCAGATAGACGCAATCGAGCCTGTCGAGGTAGCTGTTGACTCTGGTGCTGCTAGGGGTGCTGAGCCTGCGGGTGCGGGGTCTGGGGGTGCAGAGTCTGGGGGTGCAGAGCCTGGGGGTGCTGAGTCTGGGGGTGCTGAGCCTGGGGGTGCTGAGCCTGGGGGTGCTGAGTCTGGGGGTGCTGAGACACGGGGTGCGGAGCCTGAGGGTGCTGGGCCTGCTCGTGTGGAGCCTGGCGGTATTGGGTCTGGAGGTCCTTTGGGTGCTTCGTCCCGGCGGGAGCTACCCTCTCCACAGGAGCTGCGCAAGTGGTTTTCTCGGCGCTGGAGCTGTGCTGCTGGAGCTGGAGGTGCTGCAGGAGGTGGAGGTTCTAATACTGCTGAGGGTGCTGGTGCCACGGGTCCCGGAGGTGCTCGTACTGGAGGTACTGGAGCTGTTGGGCCTGGGGGTTATCCTTGTGCTGGAGCTGCTGTCGTTGCTAGAGCTGACGTTGCTTCTGGAGCAGGTGCTGCTGGAGGTGCTAGAGATGGGGCTGTTGAGTCTTCCAGTGGTCCGGCTGGAGCTGGAGCTGCTGGGGGTGTTGGAGCTGGCGCTGCTGCTGGCGCTGGTGCTTCTGAGGGTGCTGGAGCTGGCGATGCTGCAGGTGGGGGTGCTACTGGTGCTGGTGCTGCCGCTTGGGGTGCTGGTGCTCTCCCTGCTGGCTCTGGAGGCGGAACACGGCCGCGGCCGTACTTCATTCCGCTACATGAGGAAGTTCTTTGTCTCCCGCCTTCTGCTGGTCCTGCTCCTTCCTTAGAGTGTCAGCCGCTTGTCCAGTCTGAGTCGCAGTTACAACCCGCCTCCCTGCTACCTGCTCCTTCTTCCTACACTGGTCCTACTGGAGGTCTTGCTGAGCGTCGTGAGCCTGCGTCTCGTCCTGCGTCGCCTGTTTGTGCTGCTCGCACTAGTCGTCGTGTTCCGCGTCCGCGTCCTCGTGCGGTCCCAGGCATACACCAGATGGCACTGCGTCCTTCCACTGCTCCTTTGCGTGTCCGTTTGCCGTCTCCTCCAGAGTCCTCTCTTCCTGCTCTTGCTGACCCGAAGTCTGACTCCCTTCGTGCTGCCACTCCTACTGTCACGCGTCTCCTGGCTACTGCTGTCACTTACCCTTCCTTTGAGTCCACTGCTGCGTCTGTCTTAGTAGCTGAGCTTGTCGACTTTGCTGCTCGCTGTCCTCCAGACTACGCTGCTAGTCTTGTTGCTGAGTCTGAGTCTGTCTGTCCTCCGTCCGTCGGGGGTGAGTGTGCTCTTAGCACGGACGTCCTTGAGGACAGGCAGGAGGAGTTCCGGTATCTTGTTGCTGATTTTCCTGGATGCACCAGACATCTCGACTTCGCGCTCTTACGCAGAGGCGATAGAGGGTCCCTACTCCTCTCAGTGGCAGTCAGCCATGGACGCAGAGATGGCTTCCTGGAAATCCACAGGCACCTACGTCGACGAGGTTCCCCCACCTGGGGCGAACATCGTCAGTGGCATGTGGATTTTCAGGGTGAAGCGGCCGTCGGGTTCTCCGCCTGTCTTCAAGGCGCGTTACGTGGCTTGAGGCTTTAGTCAGCGGCAGGGAGTCGACAACTTTCACCATCCCAAAGATGACCACTCTTCGGGTGCTGCTACACATAGCCGCTCAGCGCGCCTACGAGCTTCACTCTCTTGACTTCAGCACTGCTTTCCTACAGGGCAGCCTGCACGAGGAGATCTGGCTGCGCCGCCCTCCTGGCTTCACTGGGTCGTTTCCTCCTAGTACCGAGTGGAGCCTCCGGTGGCCAGTCTACGGTCTCCGCCAGGCGCCCCGTGAGTGGCACGACACACTGAGGACTACACTTGCGGCTCTTGGGTTTGCTCCTTCTACTGCTGACCCGTCGCTGTTTCTACGCACCGACACCTCTTTGCCGCCGTTTTACATCCTCGTGTACGTCGACGACTTGGTCTTTGCTACTGCTGACACTGCTGGACTCGCCTACGTGAAGTCCGAGCTGCAGAAGAGACACACGTGCACAGACCTGGGTGAACTGCGCAGCTACCTTGGCTTGCAGATCACCCGAGACAGAGCACAGCGCACCATTACTCTAACTCAGTCACACATGGTGCAGCAGGTCCTTCAGCGCTTCGACTTCACGTACTCCTCGCCTCAGGCCACTCCTCTGTCTACTCGCCACTCGCTCTCAGCTCTGCCTTCGGATGAGTCCGTAGAGCCGAGTGGCCCGTACCCAGAGCTTGTTGGCTGCCTCATGTACCTGATGACTTGCACTCGACCTGACCTTGCATACCCTCTTAGCAGCTTGGCACGCTATGTTGCTCCTGGGAGACACCAACCAGAGCACATGGCTGCAGCGAAGAGGGTGTTGCGCTACTTGTGCAGTACGTCGGGCATGGGGCTCGTGCTTGGAGGGCGACGTTCAGTGGTCCTCACTGGTCACGCAGATGCTTCTTGGGCTGACGACCAGGCTACGCAACGGTCGTCACAGGGTTACACCTTCAGCCTTGGTTCCGGCTCTTTTTCGTGGCGGTCTACCCGCTCGTCCTCTGTTCTTGGCTCCAGCTGTGAGGCTGAGATCTACGCAGGGGCCATGGCTGCACAGGAGCTACGCTGGCTCACCTACCTGCTGATTGACCTAGGAGAGCCGCCTCGTTCTCCTCCAGTTCTGTACGTAGACAACAAAGCCATTGTGGCCTTGTGTCGAGAGCACAGACTTGAGCACAGAACGAAGCACATTGCTCTTCGCTACTTCCTTGCTCGTGAGCTGCAGCAGCGTGGTCAGCTGCGCCTTGCTTACGTGGCCTCTCAGGCCAACACTGCTGAGATCTTTACCAAGGCACTTCAGCCTTGTGACCATCAGTGCTTTTGTACAATGCTAGGTCTTGTGCCTACTTTGCCTCACTTGCTCACTTCTTGACCTTGCTTGTACTGTGATCTATCTATACCTGCACTTGCTTGTTTACCTTTATATATATAATCTTGCATGTGAACTGGCCTTGTAGCCTTGAACTTGTGCTCGGAATGTGTGGTGACGTTGTGATCCACCCTGAGCTTGCTGTGCTTTGCTTGACTGGTCTTGTAACCTCTTGTTTTCCCCCACTTTGCCTATGGGGTTGTGTCAAGTTTATATGCTATGGTCTATCCAGGCTGTAGTGGGGTAGATAATATAGGGTACAACATTTCTAGGTTTTCTACTTGTACCCACATTTCACCTTGTCATTCCATTCCTTGTTCTTTCACAACATGTCAACCGTGTGATGGCCTACAATCTGGAGCGTGATTAAATTCTTCTACAGAAAATGTCGGAGCGCTGCTGCAACATTTGTTTGGCGATCATGCCATTCGCCCATGGCCCTGGTGGCTTTGTTAGTGAGAGAAAGTGGCGCTGCTCGCGGGTGAGAACATTGCGCCCACTAGACGACGCACTACCTCAGTGTGGTACACATATTTTCGTGAGGGTGAGTTTGGCTTGTATTTAGGGAAGTAGTTTACACTTCCTACTGTCCGAGTAATATAAATCCTTATTTTCGTGCCCGTGGCAGAGGTGTACGGCTCGAATCGGCACTGCGACGGATTTGGCTGCCCCTTCGCCAACCGCTCTTTTGAGCTTGTCTTGTGCAAGGGACTTGGCGACAAGCGATGCAATAGGATCAATGTCAAAATCCCAGATGTCGCCACAATCTGCCACGTGGTATGTTTGTGAAAGTTCTCCCCTCCAAATATGAAAACGTGTGAACGTGTAAAACATATGAACTCATGCCAATGTGCTGCTCTACAGGTGGAATTGCCCATGGCAAACCACAACGGTCGTGCCAACCCGCCCCTTGATGCATCTGACGAGAACAACAGGGCTGCAGTAGCTGCAAAACTCCTGGTCATTGTTGCATGGATCAAGGCACTTCCAGAAGCATGTGAAGCCATCTACACCAACAAAGCCCCTGCATGGTTTGTCGTGGGCAGTGGTGCAATCAAGATTCTTATTGAAGGTTTTGAGGCTGCTTTTGATGGGTTGATCCTCTAGTGCAAGAATCATTAGCAGTCTAGATTAGAGAGTTAGTTGGGTTAGTGTAATAAAGTGTTAGTATCATGAGCAGCAACACAGGTGTACAAATTTGTTGTAACTGCTAACTGGAATAAATAGTCATTCCAATTCGTACTGGTGTATGGCTGGGTGGGAATATCAATGGGAAATGTAGTAAATGTCAGTGCTTTACATAGTGAAAAACGACCCCCGCATTGTTAGAAATATATATTGTGTAGCATGCCAACACTTGTGACTGTACACCAATTGTGGTGTACAGTTGGGTTGGGACTACACCCAACTTTGGGTATAGTCTTGCACTTTGGGGTGCCAATCCACCCAATTGTGGTGGAGCCCCCAAATGCAACCCTCTTGACTTGTGGGTACCTCACTTCCCACAATTGAGGTCACCTCAAGCCAAGTGGGCCTAGGGTTGCCTCACTTCTACAAAGTGTGGGCAACCCAACCCACTTGACCTATGGTTGCCTCACTCCCCCAAGTGAGGTCAACCCAACCTATGGTCACCTTCATCCTTCCCTTCCAACCTTTCCTTCCAACTATGTATGCTAGGTTTCTCCTCTAATGTAATCACTTGTTCAATTTACAATCTTCACATGGTATAGAGCTAGTTGTTCCTAAGCCTTAACTCTCCCTCCCTCAAGTTTTTTCTTTCCCATGGGCCCACCCCGCAGCCATCCCCTCCTACGTGTGGCTCCACCTAGCATACCCTCGCCGCGACCTACGCCGGTGCTGCCCTTCCCTCCCTCCGCCGCGATTGCGCCCTCCTCGCCTGCGAATCCCACTGCCGCGAGCGCATCGCCTGCTCCGGCGCCGCCTGCGCATCTCGCTGCGACGCCTCGTCGCCGCCTCCCCTTCCCCCTGCCGCGACCCCCCCGTCGCCGCCTCCCCCCTCCCGCCGCCGCGCCTTCTTCGGCGCCGCCCGCGCATCCCTCCTCCGCGACGCCTCCTCATCGCCTGCCCCTCCCGCTGCCGCGACGTCACGTCGCCGCCTCCCCTTACCGCCTCCGCGACGCCTCGTCATCGCCTGCCCCTCCCGCTGCCGCGACGTCACGTCGCCGCCTCCCCTTACCGCCGCCGCGCCTTCCTCGGCGCCGCCTGCGCATCCCGCCGCCGCGACGCCTCGTCGCCGCCTCCCATCCCGCCGCCGCGACTTCGCGTCGCCGCCTGCACGCCCCGCCGCAGTGACCCGCTCGCCGCCGCCTTCGCATCCCACCGCCGCGACCCGCTCGTCGCCGCCTGCACGTCCCGCCGCCGCGACGTCGCGTCGCCGCTTGCGCATCCCGCCGCCACGACCTGCTCGTCGCCGCCTGCACATCCCGCCGTCGCGACCTACCGTCGCCGCCTGCACCTCCTGCCGCCGCGACCTACTGTCGCCGCCTGTGTATCCCACCGCCGCGACCTGCTCGTCGCCGCCCGCGCATCCCGCCGACGCGATCTACTCGTCGCCGCCCGCGCATCCCACCGCCGCGACCTACTCGTCGTCGCCCGCGCATCCCGCCGCTGCGACCTGCTCGTCCCCGCCTGTGCATCCCGCCACCGCGACCTGTTCGTCGCCGCCTGCCAGTCGCCTCCCCTCCCCGCCGCCGTCGTCGTGCGCCATCGCCCGCGCATCCCGCTGCTCCTACTGCCCCACTACCCGGCCGCAATTTCCGCCGCCGCGACTACACCGCCAGCCGCCCGCGATTTCCGCTACCGCGACCCTCCCATCGCCTCCTGCGCTTCCCGCCGCAGCGCCCGCTTGTCCCCGCCTGCCCACACCACCCCTCTGCAGATTCCGCCGCCGCAGCAGCCGCCCCACCAAGCAGCAGCGGCGGCCTTGGCAGCAACAGCCCCGCCCACAGCTGCAACTTTCTTCCTCTTCCTCCCCCCCCCCTCCCCCTTTCCTTCTCCTCTCCTCCCACGTAGCAACAGCTAGGACAGCTCAGCAGCCGCAGCAGCAACAGCGACAGCAGCAGCAGCATCGGGAGCAGCGGCAGTAGCGGCAGCAGCGGCAGCAGCGGTAGCAGCGGCAGCAGCAGCAGCATCGGCAGCAACGGCAGCAGCAGCAGCAGCGGCAGCACCGGCAGCAGCGGTCGGAGGAGTGCGCCAGCCTCAGCAGCAGCACTCCCCCCCCCCCCCCCCCCCCTTCCTTGGCCGCCGCGGGTCCACCCGCCGTTGCCCTCTCCCTTGACCGCCGCGGGTCCACCTGCCGCTGTCCCCCACATGGCTACCAACCCTCCTGCCCCCCTCCCCCTCCCTCCTCCCATCGACGCCTCCTCCGTCGACAAGGTCCAGCTTGCCGCAGACCGCTCAGCTATCAATTGACACTCATTCGTCGGGAGCATCCGCCGTGTCCTCCAGGACACCTTCGTCGGACCCTACTGCGTCCTCGACGTCCTCCTCCGCCGCCCGCACGCTCTCCAGCCCACTGCCCCCACTCACCCCGGTGAACCCCCTCCTCCCCCCATTCCCCTTGGCCCTCCTCCTCCTAGACCTACCTTGGAGATCGCCGCTACCCCGGAGCTCCAGGCTGCCGCCGATACCACCTTCCTCCACAATCGCCGCGAGTACCTCATCCGCAAGGCAGAGCATGAAGTTGCGCTGCATCATCACGAGTTTGCAACAGCAGAGCGCGCCACTCGCCTGGCATTACTGAATGAGTATACCACGGCCATGGCAGACTACCTCCCCAAGAGCATCGCATGGGCCACTGCTGACAACCGCGCCTGCACCATCCTCCTCAGCGCACTCCCCAACACCCTCATGCACCGTTTCCAAGCTCGCGAGATGCACACCTCCCTCATTTGGGCCAAGCTCCAGGCGATGTTTGAGTGTCGCGACATCAGCTCTATCGGCGCCCTTTTCCAGTACTTCTCGATCACCCTCGCCACCTGTGACAGCACAGTTGACTACGTGGGGCGCATGCAGGAGGTCGCTGATCGCCTTGCGGCACGACAAGCCGCCCTCCCCGAGCCACTGCAAATCCATCACCTCCTCTACAACCTCACCCCGGACTACGAGTCCCGCCTCCACACCTTCACTGAGGCCAACCTTATGGCCGGCCTCGACGACGTGGTCCAGTGAATCATTGACACGGATATCAAGCTCCGCACCCCCATAGTCAACCTTACCACCCCTCAGTCCTCCTCCTCCAGCTCCCTCAATGCTACGCAGCCGCGCAACGAGGGTGATCGCAGCAACAGCAGTGGAGGTCGTAGCGCTGGTGGCGGTGGTGGTGGAGGTCGGGGCGGTGGTGGGGGGGGTGGTGGTGGCCGTGGCCGTGGTGGCCGGGGTGGCGGTGGTGGTGGTGCTGGCAGCACCCCTGCTGGAGGATCCTCCGGTGCTGGTGGTGCTGTGACTCGAGGCGGTCGCCCTGGAACTCTACCCCCATGCACGTATGTGAGCCGCCATGGTCCCCATGCTGGTACCCTGTGTGGTCAAACCAACCACCCCCCCACCACATGCTTCAAGGCGCTCGACGACGCCTGGTTTGATCGAGGTAACACTGGCACCCCTCCTCGCTGGAACATTGTCACCCCTCGCCCCTCCTTGGTGGATGTTCAAACCCTCCCCTCTTTCCTTCCTGCTCACCTCCGCCTGGTTACCCCCTCCCCACCTTCGCAGCTGCAGCAGTTTCAGCAGCGCCAGCAGCAGCAGCACCAGTACTTCCACCACCAGCAGCAGCAGCCGCAGTTTCTCCAGCCGCAGCAGCCGCCGCCGCCGCCGCAGTTCTTCCAGCCACCGCCGCAGCAGCAGCAGCAATTCCTTCCGCCACACTGGCAGCAGCAGCCGCTTACCTTCGGCACAGCGGCCACGGCCGCTCATGCCTCTCTTACTCCCCCTCCCCCCTGGGGTTCCCTCCCCTCTGCCCCCCCCAGTGTCCCCGACACTTCGGGTAGTTTCCTTGGTAATGTCAGTGCTGCACCGTCCGTCGCTTCCATGTATCCCTCTGCTATCAATGAGACTTCGTTTTAGTAACCCGTGCCACCTCCTCCTCTCTCTTCCCCCACCCTAGACTTTGTCCTTGATAGTGGGGCCACTGAAACCGCACTGAAAGACGCTGGCACTCTCACCCCCCTACCACTTCCCACTCAGGTTCATGGAGCTGATTCCAGCTTTTCCATTCCATGCACTCACCTCTCCACCCTCCCTTGCACTGCCTTCCCCTCCGGTAAGGTCACAGGTCTCCACATCCCCACTCTTCGCAACAACCTTATCTCCCACCGCGAGTTTCAAGGTGTTCGTATTACCGCCATCTACCCGGGCTTTGCTAACTACTGTGATCTCTACCAAACCTCCTATGGTCGCTTCATTCTCCGCATTCCGCTTTGCCCTCGCTCTCACCTCTACACACTCCGCACACCTCGCCCATCTTTCTGCCACGTCACCACCCGTTCCGGCATTTCCACCGGTCCACCTCCCCCTCCTTTACTTCCCCCTTCCCCTCCCCCTCAAGTATCCTCCCCCCCCTCCCCATCATCCTCCTCCCCTCCTGTCCCTTCCATCATCCCATCTTCCTCCTCCTCCACTACCCTCTCGCACCCAGCCGTCCTCTTACACCACAGACTCGGCCATCCCAACTTCACCGCCCTTCGCACCACAGTCACCTCTCGCCTCCTCTGCAGCCTTCCTCCCGTCTTACCCCCTCACCCCTCCTCCCCCTCTCCCCCATGCCCTTCATGCGTCCACGGCAAGCTCAAACATTCACCCCACCACTGTCATCCCACCTTTGCCGCCGCCCCCATTGACCTTGTGCACATGGATCTCTGGGGCCCCTACCCCATCCGCTCCCGCCAGGGGCACAGGTACATGCTCTTCCTCATCGACGACCACAGCCAGTACTCCACCGTCTTCTTTCTTCACACGAAAGACCAAGTGCCGGCTGTGGTCATCAACTGGGCTGAGCTGTACCGCAACCACTTCAAACGCCCCATCGGCCGCCTTCACTCTGATGGTGGGGGTGAGTTCATCAATTACACACTCGCCTCTTACTGTATGACCCACGGCATTCAGCAGACCTCCACCCTCCCCCACTCCCCTCAGCAAAATGGCGTCGCTAAGAGTCGCATTTGTGAGATCACCAAAATTGCGCGCTGCCTCATGGCTCATGCCTCTACCCCCCCTTCCCTCTGGAGCTATGCCCTCCTCCACGCCGCCCTTCTCCTCAATCTCCGCTCCCACCCTTAGCATCCTTCCTCCTCCCCCACAAACCTTTGGTCCAAGGCCAAACCTGACGCTGCCGGCCTTCGTGTTTGGGGCCGCAAGGCCTTCGTTCTCATTCCACCCGCCGACCGCTCCCGCGCCGCTGGCAAGCTTGCTCCTCGCGCCCTGGAATGCGTTTACCTTGGGCACAACCGCGACTCCCCAAGCTACCTGTTCCTCCACCCTCCCACCAACCGCCTCATTTGCAGCAGCGACGTCGTCTTCGACGAATCAATTCCCTACTACTCCACTCCTCACCCTGATCCTCTCCCTCCTCCCACTCGCCCCCTCGCTTGGACCGATACCGTCCTCCCACCTCTCCTCCCCCCCGCGCCCCTCCTCCCACCTGTCGCCGCTCCACTCCCGCCTTCCTCCTCTACCGACGTCTACACCCCGCTGCACCCATCTCCCCCGCCCACTCAGCTGCACCCCCTCCCTCCCCTCCCTCCTCCTATCACTCTCCCTCTTGTCAGCAGCAGTAGCAGCCGGTGCAGCAGCACCAGCACCAGGAGCAGCCGGGGCAGCGGGAGCAGCAGCACCAGCGGCAGCAGCAGCCGGGGTAGCGGCAGCAGCAGCAGCCGGGGCAGCAACAGCAGTAGCCGGGGCAGCAGCAACAGCAGCCGGGGCAGCGGCAGCAGCAGCCGGGGCAACAGCAGCAGCAGCCGGGGCAACAGCAGCAGCAGCCGCTGCAGCAGCATCAGCAGCAGCAGCAGCAGCTGGAACATCAGCAGCAGCAGCAGCGGTAGCAGCAGCAGCAGCAGCACCGGCTTCAGCAGCAACGACGTGCCACCTCTCGCTCCTCCCCTTTCCTCCTTCCCCGCATGCACACCCGTTCCCTTGATCGCATCCTTGGGACCCCTCCTCCTCCTCCTTCCCTTCAACTCCTTGAGGACTCTCACAAGGAGTTCCTCACCATCCAGCAACACACTCCATTAGCCACCCTTTTTCTTGACTTCCTTGGCTTCCCCGTCCTTGGCGCCACCTCCACCCCCACCATCTTCACTCCCTCCACCTTCCAAGAGGCCATCACCTGCCCTGACGCGGACAAGTGGATAGCGGCAATCTTCCAGGAGTGCGAGGTGTTTAACCGCAAAGACTGCTTCGTTGACGTCCCCCTCCCCGCCGATGCCAATCTTGTTGAGGGCAAGTGGGTCTTTCGGGTAAAGCAGCTGCCGAACGAGGAACCGGTCTACAAGGCCCGCTAGTGCGCCAAGGGCTTCACACACACACATTTCTGGGCCACCTACGCCCCCACCACCAAACCCCCCACCCTTCGCGCAGCCCTCGACATTGGTGCGCATGACAACAGGGAGATCGATTCCACGGACGTCTCAAATGCGTTCCTGCAGGGTGACCTGCACGAGCGCATTTTCCTCCGGCGACCACTGGGGTTCCACGCACCCTTCCCTAAGAACACTGTCTGGCAGCTGCATTGCCCTGTCTACGGCCTGAAGCAGGCACCGCATGAGTGGCATGCGAAGCTGGCTGCCACCTTAGGGTCTCTCGGCTTCTCTGCTTCCCACTCCGACGCCAGCCTCTTCATCCGCACCTCCCCCCGCCGCTTCTTCATTCTGGTGTATATGGACGATATGATTCTGCTCTCTGACACCAAGGCCGACATGGAGCAGATGAAGCTGTCCCTGCAGCAGCGTCTCAAGTGCAAAGACCTTGGCGCCCTCACTCACTACCTGGGCATGACCATCACGTGTGACCGCCCTGCTCGCACCATCACCCTCTCCCAATCCCACTGCATCGGCCAGGTCTTGGAGAAGTTCGACATGGCGCAGGCCAAGCCCGTCTCCACCCCCTTTCCTTTCGGCCACCAACTCTCTCCACCCACCTCCCCCACCTCCTCCCCCCACCCCTATGCCGAGCTCGTTGGGTCTCTGATGTACGCGATGATGTGCACCCGCCCCGACCTTGCCTACCCCATCAGCATGCTCGCTTGCTTCGTCGGCGCCGGTCGTCACACTGAGGAGCACTGGAAAGCTGCCAAGCGGGTCCTCCACTACCTTCGAGAGACCAAGGACCTTGCCCTCACCCTTGGCGGCCCTCCCCCTCCTCTTCTCTCGGGCTTCAGTGACTCCTCTTGGGCTAACACGCAGCCGGACCTCCGCTCCTCCCAGGGCTATGGCTTCACCCTTGGCAGCGGCCTCATCAGCTGGCGCTCCACCTGCTCCTCCGCCATCTCTCTCTCCACCTGCGAGGCCGAGCTCTACGCTGGCACCATGGCTGCTCAGGAGTCCCGCTGGCTCTGCTTCCTTCTTGCAAAGCTTTGCGCTCCTCAGATGTGCCCCACTCTCTGGTGCGACAATGCTAGCACCATCCATCTCAATGAGGACCCCGTCTATCATGCCCGCTCCAAGCACATCGAGCTCCGCTATTTTTTCCTCCGCGAGCTTGTCCAGAAGGGCCTTATTACCGTTTGCAAGATTGGGACCGAGGCCAATCTGGCCGACATTTTCACAAAGGCCCTCCTTCGCCCTGCGCACTCCGCTTTCCTCCGTCTCATTGGTCTCGCTCGCCCAAGCGCCCCTTGATTCAGGGGTTGTTCTTGTCAGAGCTATATTCTTATATCTGCATGTAGTTCTAGCTTTAGTGTAGATATGAACTTTATAGGTGGTGCACCTCTTTCTTCACTTGTTTGCTATATGTACTCTCTTGCTATAGTGAACACTCATTCTCCTTCTCAACTTTCTCGACATTCACCTCACCCTCGAACTTAACTTACTCGATCTCACTAACCATGGCTCCTAAGCCTCGCTAGAGTCTTGACATGGTATCAGAGCGAAGGTCTCGGGTTCGAATCCCGGTGTATGCACTTCGGGCATCCCAGTGCGGGGGGGTGTCAGAGGTCCACTGGTGATCCCCGATTGATCCTAGGGAAGGGTTACAGGCACGTTGGCCTGGGGGGTTATGGGCACACTGACCCGCTACTTAACAAGCCCTTTTATCCCAATGGTCTAGTGTTTGGGATTCTGACAGTTCTCTTCCTGTGCTAGCATGCTAAGGGGTTGTGTTAGAAATATATATTGTGTAGCATGCCAACACTTGTGACTGTACACCAATTGTGGTGTACAGTTGGGTTGGGACTACACCCAACTTTGGGTGTAGTCTTGCACTTTGGGGTGCCAATCCACCCAATTGTGGTGGAGCCCCCAAATGCAACCCTCTTGACTTGTGGGTACCTCACTTCCCACAATTGAGGTCACCTCAAGCCAAGTGGGCCTAGGGTTGCCTCACTTCTACAAAGCGTGGGAAACCCAACCCACTTGACCTATGGTTGCCTCACTCCCCCAAGTGAGGTCAACCCAACCTATGGTCACCTTCATCCTTCCCATCCAACCTTTCCTTCCAACTATGTATGCTAGATTTCTCCTCTAATAGAACCACTTGTTCAATTTACAATCTTCACATGCATACCTACAAATTATGTGGCAATTTATGGTGATTTATGACATACATAAAATACAGGAAGACAATAAATATCAATTTACGTGGTTGCAATATGCAGGCATTTATTGGAATGCCTTTAATACATATGAATGGCGGGCCAATTTTGGGGCAATCACCCCCCATATACGGCCTTGAATAGCCACTTCACTATAGCTGTATATAGTCATAAACAGCCATTCTGCTCAATATACAAGCGGGCAATTCATAAGCCATAAACGCCTAGGAAGTAGCCTGTGTACAGCCTGCTAGTTCCCAGCCATAATGCTGCCATTTGCATGGAGAAAATGGCAGTGAATCGCCATTTTTAAGGCTGGCATATTTTAGATGGCCGTTAGGCCTCACACCGTCACAAGCTCCAGAGTCGCTTCACCCACAAGCGGCATCACCACCCTCGTCGTCTCGCACCGTTCCTTCCTCCACCGGCACCTTCCTGCACCCCTTACAACCATGGACCCGCGCCGATCACGTCTCACCTGCAGCCACAGCCAGCAGCAGCCTCGGGAGGTCGTCCTCACATGCGATGCTTCCGCCCAGTCCGCATCAAGCTGACGGCAGCAGCGCCGGTGCTAAAACGCACGGTTCGGCCCCGCGAACACCTTCTGTGCCGATTACCATTCCCTCGGCCAGCGTGCCCGATGTGACCGCCACAATTTCCAAGGGTGAGTTGGCAGAGGCACCACGGGATGCACGCACGCAGACAGGAATGGCGGAGGCAAGCACTGCGTCTAGTGCTGCCCCGTCACCGCTGCCAGGCGAAGCCAAGTGCACGTATCGAGCCTACAAGAAGAAACCTGAGAGGATGTGGAGTAAGAAGCTGGCCACGAAGCGGGCCGCGATTGCCACGGGCGTGGGGGTGGCGGAGGAAGAAGCACACGCACGTAGGGATGCGACGAAAGTGAGCGCGGTGACGGGCAAAGTGGACATCGTGTGCGGCAGCGTGTGCTCACATCTAGCGGTTGATGGCAATGCGGAGAAGATGGAAGGTGCGCGGGCGATTGGATAAAGGATGCCATGGCGGGGATTGTAGGGCGGTGAGATGCTATTGAATTGAGGCAGCAAGCAGTGGCAAGCCACCCACCACATGGTCGCGTGTGACACACGCGTCGCTCCTCCCCCCATCCCTCAACCACCAGGCACCCTCGCCAATCTCATGCCCCCTCCAAGCGCGCGAGGCATCACCACCAGCCCACCGCCTGGTTCGTCTTATGAGAATGGAGGGCGAGCTGCCATGCTTCATTGGTTCTCTCCACCACCTATCTACCCCCCCCCCCCCCCCCTCCGAACCATGCCTCCCCGCCATCTCTCACTGTCTCTTTGTTGCTGATTGCAGAGGTGGAGGTGGGGCAAATGCGAGTATTGGACGAGCGATCTTTGCACGACCCCTTTTTTGTGGAGCGGTGCTTCTCGCAAATAAGATAGAAGTACATGAAGGGCATTTACACTGTGGACCTACATGACGTATTCAGATCGGTCGCCCTTCTTATCCTCGTCGATTGGGATCAAACGACCAAGTGTGAGTGCTTTTTGTCGTCATGGTGAGCTCTACGAGGGGAGAAAGTGGGGTGTGGCAAAAAGGGGCGGGGGAGGGGGGGGGGGGGGGGGGGGGGGGGATGGGGGGGCAGCATAGAGAACGTTTTATGCCCTCGGGTTCATGTGTTGTCTTTGCCTCTTAGGTACGCCCTCCGCTCGTCAGGTACGCGTGTTGCCTCCTCCCAGCTTGTTCTTTTGTGGCCTCTTCCGTCTTGTCGGCACTTCATTTCACCGTTGCTGCATGCTTACCTTTTCTTCGTTGTACTTTTTTTTCCTCTCCTTCTTTTAGAGATTCGCAGGCGTCACTCAATAGAATCATAACACGCGGTGTTCTACAAAAAATCCCGTCCCAACTGTTGATTGAGAGGGTGGAGTCACACTATAGGGAACTGGTACGTACATCACAAGGATTGTGTGTGACACTTGGATATCCACCACTCAATTCATTCTTCTTGCAAAATTCTCATGTGATATTGGTTCACCATGTAGTGATATGTTTCTTATTTTCTTCTGTAAGCAAGTTCTACTATGTATCTTGTTGCGTCCACCTCTTCTCCTTGCTTCCCTGCATCCCTTCCTCCCCTCCCCTTTCCTCTATTCCTCCTGCAACTCCTCCTTCCCATTCCTCCCCTCCGCTTTCCTCTCCCCTTTTATCTCCTCCCCCCCTGTTTACTTCCCTCATTCGCCCATTTCCCTTCCCTCCCAACACCTTCCTCCCTCTTCCCACTGTTCTCATCCATACTCCCCTTCCTATCCCCCTCCTCATCCTCATCCCCCCCCTCTCTCTCCGCAACTTACAACCTCCCCTTCTTTCCCCCTCCGACTCTGTCAGTAGATCTGCACTGTGGATGCGCGATTGATCCTGGAGAGGGTTACAGGCGCGTTCGCCTGGGGGGTTATGGGCGCACTGACCCGCTACTGAAACAAGCCCTTTGTGTCAGTAGAGCTACACTGTGAGATCCCCGATCGATCCTAGGGGGGGTTACAGGCGCGTTTGCCTGGGGGGTTATGGGCGCACTGACCCGCTACTGAAAAAAGCCCTTTTATTCCAATGGTCTAGTGGTTGGGATTCTGACATGGTATCATAGCGGTCTCGGGTTCGAATCCCGGTGTATGCACATGTTGGTCGTTGCCACTGTGCTCAGTCCTGGGCCTCCCAGTGTGGGGGGGTGTCAGTAGAGCTACACTGTGAGATCCCCGATCGATCCTAGGGGGGGTTACAGGCGCGTTTGCCTGGGGGGTTATGGGCGCACTGACCCGCTACTGAAAAAAAGCCCTTTTATCCCAATGGTCTAGTGGTTGGGATTCTGACAGACTCTCCATCTCTCCTCGCCTCTCCTTTTTCGCCATTCCCTCCCACGCCCTCGCACTCCGAATCACCTCCCTTCTCACTTTCTTCCCCAGACGCATCCCTCTCACTGGAACCGTTTCTTTCCCCGTCAACAATCCCTGTGTCTCCTTTTCTTTCCCTCTCAATCTCTGAGGCTCCTTTCCTTTCCTCGTCAATCCCTGAGGTTCCCTAAAGTCTCCTGTTGCTGCATGCACCCTTCACGTCCATCCATACCCTGCATGAGCTTGGTTTCTTCTTCCCACCCTCTCGAGCCACATGTATGTTGCTCAATGGCTTCACCTTTTTCCTCTTTGCCTTAGGTTTTATGTCTGCATGGAGCTGCACCTTCCCCATTCCGCCTTATGTCTCTCCCTTCTCCCTCTCGCCCCCTGGTTGTACCCAGTCCACCTTCCCCATTCCGCCTTGTGTCTCTCCCTTCTCCCTCTCGCCCTTGGGCTCTGCCCGTGCATTTCAAACAAAGTAACCTCAGATTAAAAAAAAAAAAAAAAAAAAAAAAAAAAAAAAAAAGGAGCCTGTGTGATCTTCTTAACAATGATTCCGTTTTCTATCAATCAGAGCTAAAAAATCCTCTTCTCAGGGTGATGCCAGAAGATGTGCTGATCGGGAAACAATGAAGGAGTGAATTGAAGTTCTCACTGTGCTACGTATGCATGTTGGTGGTTGTTTTTATGTCACGCCCTGCAGGGTACGTCAAGAGTCAAGACACTCATTAATACTGTGTACCACTTCCATACACAACGACACTACAGCTTGTTTTCCCTAATCAAATGAATTTGTTCCATGAGCAAGATGGAGGCTCTCCAGTCTTTTTCCCTGTACGCCTCCCCTTTTCCGCTCCCTCTCCCCCTCCCAATCCCCCTCTTTCTGCCACTGCCTTTGTTCATGCCCTTGCCCTGCCCCTGCCCTTGCCCCTGCACCCCCTCCTGCCCCTCCCCATGCACCCCCCTGCACCTCCTCCTGCCCCTCTCCCTGCCGCTCCCCTCCCCTCCCTTCCCTTCTCGCCCCTTCATACATATGCAGGTCCACTTTGTGGATAAGAAGATCAATGTATGCCTACGTTCAGTGTAGTATACGGAAATCATGTCCTACTGACAAATCACTGGCACACTTCATATTGATACAAATCAACATAATGTACGAACCAAGTTTTCATTTCGCACCAACAAATGGGAGCAAATATGCCATGACATTGACACACATAGGTGGCAACAGGTATAGCAAATACATTCCTCCCAACTTGTTCCCTTTATGCTAATTGTATTTACAGGCCTCAAAAGTGGGCAAATTGGTCACAAAAAAAAAAGCATATGGCAGAGTAATAGGGACTACAAAGGAAGACAGTTTGGGGGGTAAAATATGAAGCAATAGGGGCCCTTGCCCCTGCACCCCCTCCTGCCCCTCCCCATGCACCCCCCTGCACCTCCTCCTGCCCCTCTCCCTGCCGCTCCCCTCCCCTCCCTTCCCTTCTCGCCCCTTCATACATATGCAGGTCCACTTTGTGGATAAGAAGATCAATGTATGCCTACGTTCAGTGTAGTATACGGAAATCATGTCCTACTGACAAATCACTGGCACATTTCATATTGATACAAATCAACATAATGTACGAACCAAGTTTTCATTTCGCACCAACAAATGGGAGCAAATATGCCATGACATTGACACACATAGGTGGCAACAGGTATAGCAAATACATTCCTCCCAACTTGTTCCCTTTATGCTAATTGTATTTACAGGCCTCAAAAGTGGGCAAATTGGTCACAAAAAAATAAAGCATATGGCAGAGTAATAGGGACTACAAAGGAAGACAGTTTGGGGGGTAAAATATGAAGAACTTCTGAACTTTTGCCGTTCAATTCTTCTTCCTCTCTTCTAGTTCCCCTCCATCTTTGTTATCTTGTTTCTTCTCAACAAGATCATGCCCTTTCATTTGATTGAACTTCCTCTACCTCGCTTCCTCATCTCCTCCCCACCCAAGGTTTAAAATTGGTCTTAGGCCACCCTGCCTACTCACGGTCTCAGCCTGTCCCAACCTGATGGCCTAGGGTAAAATTTCGGGTACGCTGACAAATACAGGCTAAAAAACAAAAAATAGCCTGACTGATTCAGGGACAATAAGACATTAAAAATTTTAATGTCATCGATATCGTTAGTTGTTAACTTAGTTAGTTGGCGATTTTCTTCCGAATGGTAAGACAGCAGGTTCGAACGCTAATGTAGACGAATATGGTCTACGGAAGGTATGCGCGTTTCTCCGAATCGGTACAAGTGTAACTCATATGTTACACTTTGTAGTCAGGGAACAAAAAATCCTACGTTTTTTTTTAGGGTAAAAAAGAATCCACTAATTTGAAGAAAGGGTAACTGTACGGTTAGCCTGCCTTGATTAGGGTAACTGAAAAAAGTGGCCCACAGATAGGGCAAAAAGGGTATTTTACATTGATATTCTGGGCCCTGTCCCCCCCCCCCCCCCCCCCACGCGGGCTAACCCGCTGCTCCCTTGTCCCTCTCGCCCCTCCCACTGACCTTCCCACCCCCTTTACGGAGGCTCCCACCCCCTTTTCCGAGCCCTCTGTCTCTTGTACCGAGCCCCCCGCCCTTTTTACCGAGCCTCCTGCGACCGAAGGGGATGGGAGACCGAAGTTAGAGCAAGATGGGAGAGGGGTCGATGAAGAGGAGGGAGGAGGGGATGAAGAGGAGGAAGGAATAGGGGCGAAAGAGAAGGAAAGAGGACGGAAAGATGAGGGGGGAAATGGGGTGGAAGAGGTGAGGAGCAAAAAAGAAGAGGATGAGGGGAGAGGGGGGCGGGTGGAGAATGGGAGAGGGGAGGAAGGGGAGGAGGGGAGACGTCAGGAAGCGGTTGAAGGGGGAGTGGGGCAATAAGTGGAAGGGAGTAGGGAGGAAGTGGAAGGGGGAAGAGGGGAAAAAAAGAGGTGGAGGGTACAAGGGCTAAAGTGGAGGGACGAGGGGAGAAAGAGGAGGGAAGAGGGGGTCAAGAGTGTGAAATCAAAGAACGAGAATGAATGACTATGAAGTGAAGTGAATACAAATAGGAAACCCTAATTGTGTTGTACCCCATATGGGATACCCCACTATAGCCTACAGAAACAAGTAAGCTATATGTTCTGACACACCCCCATAGGCAAAGTGGGGGAGAACAAGGGGTCACAAGACCAGTCAAGCAAAGCAAAGCAAAGCTCAGGGTGGATCACAAAGTCACCACGCATTCCGAGCACAAGTTCAAAGGCCAGAAGGCCAGTTCACATGCAAGATCATATATAGAGATATACAAGAGTCAAGCAAGCAAGAGCAAGAGTATATATAGGCGAAGGTACAAGCAAGGTCAAGAGGAAAGCAAGTGAGGCAAGACAGGCACAAGACCCAACTGCGTGCAACAACGCTGATGATCACAAGGCGCAAGTGCCTTGGTGAAGACATCAGCAGTGTTGGCCTCAGAGGCCACGTACGCAAGTCGCAACTGTCCACGCTGCTGTAGCTCACGAGCAAGAAAGTAGCGGAGAGCAATGTGCTTCGTTCTGTGCTCCAGTCGCTGCTCTCGACACAAGGCCAGCATGGCCTTGTTGTCTACGTACAGGACTGGAGGAGAATGAGGCTGCTCTCCAAGGTCGGTCAGCAGGTAGGTGAGCCAGCGTAACTCCTGTGCAGCCATAGCCCCAGCGTAGATCTCAGCCTCACAACTGGAGCCGAGAACAGAAGACGAGCGGGTAGCTCGCCACGAGACAGAGCCGGAACCAAGGCTGAAGGTGTAACCCTGTGACGACCGCTGCGTAGCCTGGTCGTCAGCCCAAGAAGCGTCTGCGTGCCCAGTGAGGACCACTGGACTGCGCCCTCCAAGCACTAGCCCCATGCCCGACGTACTGCACAAGTAGCGCAACACCCTCTTCGCTGCAGCCATGTGCTCTGGTCGGTGTCTCCCAGGAGCAACAAAGCGTGCGAGAATGCTAAGAGGGTATGCGAGGTCAGGTCGTGTGCAGGTCATCAGGTACATGAGGCAGCCAACAAGCTCTGCAAATGGGCCACTCGACTCTACGGACTCATCCGAAGGCAGAGCTGAGAGCGAGTGGCGAGTAGGCAGAGGAGTGGCCTGAGGCGAGGAGTACGTGAAGCCGAAGCGCTGAAGGACCTGCTGCACCATGTGTGACTGAGTCAGGGTAATGGTGCGGCGTGCTCTGTCCCGGGTGATCTGCAAGCCAAGGTAGCTGCGCAGTTCACCCAGGTCAGTGCACGTGTGTCTCTTCTGCAGCTCGGACTTCACGTAGGCGAGTCCAGCAGTGTCAGCTGTGGCAAAGACCAAGTCGTCGACGTACACGAGGATGTAGAACGGCGGCAGAGAGGTGTCGGTGCGCAGAAACAGCGACGGGTCGGCAGTAGAAGGAGCAAACCCAAGTGTCGCGAGCGTAGTCCTCAGTGTGTCATGCCACTCACGTGGCGCCTGGCGGAGACCGTAGACTGGACGCCGGAGACTCCACTGGGTACCAGGAGGGAAAGACCCAGTGAAGCCAGGTGGGCGACGCAGCCAGATCTCCTCGTGCAGGCTGCCCTGCAAGAAAGCTGTGCTGAAGTCGAGAGAGTGCAGCTCGTAGTCACGGTGAGCAGCAACGTGCAGCAGGACCCGAAGAGTGGTCATCTTCGGGGTGGGGGAGAAGGTCTGAAAGTAGTCAACCCCCTGCCGCTGACTGAAGCCACGAGCCACGTAACGCGCCTTGAAGACAGGCAGAGAACCCGGCGGCCGCTTCACCCTGAAAATCCACATGCCACTGACGATGTTCGCCCCAGGAGGAGGAACAGCGTCAACGTAGGTGCCTGTGGACTTTCAGGAAGCCATCTCTGCATCCATAGCTGCCTGCCACTGAGAGGAGTAGGGACCCTCTATCGCCTCCGCGTAAGAGCGCGGAGTCGGGATGTCTGGTGCATCCGGGTCTCCCTCAGGGGCTAGCAGTACAGACGCGAGACGAGGTGAAGCGGCGGCCAGACACTGGAACTCCTCCTGCCTGTCCTCAAGGACGTCCGTGCCAAGGGCACACTCACCCCCGACCGACGGAGGACAGGCGGACTCAGACTCAGTGACAAGACGAGCAGCGTAGTCTAGACGACAGCGCGCAGCAAAGTCGACAAGCTCAGTGACTAGGGCAGACGCAGCAGACGACTCGAAGGAAGGGTCAGTGACAGCAGTAGCAAGGAGACGCGTGACAGTAGGACTGGCAGCACGAAGAGAGTCCGACTCCGGGTCGGCAAGAGCAGGAAGAGAGGAAGCAGGAGGAGAAGGCAAAGGGGCACGCAGAGGAGCAGTGGACGGACGCAGTGACATCCGGTGCGTGCCAGGGACAGGAGGAGGACGCTGACGCGACCCGCGACCACTAGCGCGCTCAGTACGAACAGGCGACACAGGACGAGACGCAGGCTCACGACGCTCAGTAAGACCTCCAGTCGGACCAGTGTAGGGAGAAGGAGCAGGCAAAGGGGAGGCAGGCTGTAGCTGTGGCTGTGACCGGACAGGCTGCGGACCCTCTAAGGGAGGAGGAGGAGGAGGTGGAAGACCAAGAACCTGCTGCAGGAGCGGAACGAAGTACGGTCGGGGCCGCGCGGCGACACTAGAAACAGCAGGAACAGCACCAGCAGCCCCGGCAGGAGCACCCACTCCAGCAGCACCTCCAGCAGCACCACCAGAAGCTCCAGAACCTCCAGCAGCAGCACCAGGAGCACTGTCAGTCGGACCGCCAACGGCAGGCTCAGCGTCAACACCCTCAGCAGTACCAGCTCCAGGAGAACTCTCAGACCCAGCAGCTCCAGCACCCACAGTACGAGCACCGGCGGGACGCGCGGCAGCAGTACCCTCTGCAGCCGAAGAACCACCAGTACCAGCAGCACGCCTCCAGCGCATGGCAAACCACTCACGCAGCTCCTGTGGGGAGAGTGGCTCCCGGCGAGACGAAGCACCCCCAGGCACAGCACCCCCAGGCTCAGCACCCCTAGGCACAGCACCCCCAGGCACAGCACCCCCAGGCTCGGCACCTCCAGGCTCAGCACCCCCAGGCACAGCACCCCCAGGCGCAGCACCCCCAGGCTCAGCACCCCTAGGCACAGCACCCCCAGGCACAGCACCCCCAGGCTCGGCACCTCCAGGCTCAGCACCCCCAGGCTCAGCACCCCCAGGCTCAGCACCCCTAGACTCCGCACCCCCAGGCTCAGCTCCCGCAGCAGCACCAGAGTCACCAGTGACCTCGACAGGCTCGACCGCGTCTACCTGGGACACACCTGAAGGGGCAGGACCCTGAGGGGGGAGGGGGACTACCGGGGGGGGACCTGGTACCAAGAAGAGCGGGGGTGGGGGGAGGGACGGAGTGCGGTAGGGGAAGAGGCGGTAGTAGGGTACCGACTCGTCGAACGTGACGTCCTTGGAGGACAGAACACGTCGAGAGGTGGGGTGGTAAAACTGCCACCCAGGGGCGTCGGGGGGGAACCCCAGGAAGACGCAGGGAGAAGCACGAGGGGACAGCTTGTCCGCAGACAGGTCGCGAACAAACGCCCGAGATCCCCAGACCCGGAACGCCGACGCATCGCCAACCTTCCCCGTCCACAGCAGGGCTGGGGAGGTCTCCGGTCGAGAGACCCTGGGGTGGAGGTTGATTTGGTGCGCAGCGTACCTGACCGCAAACGGCCACAGAAAATGGGGAGCAGCCGCATGCATCATGGACGTACGAGCGACGTCCATGACCATGCCAATGCGGCGCTCAGCAATCCCATTCTGCTGTGGTGAGTCCGGAAGCGTGAAGGTCTGACGGATGCCTCGCGCACGACAGTAGGCACTGAGGAGGCCAGAGGAGAACTCTCCGCCTCTGTCCGAGTGCAGACGCAAAACAGGGAAGTTAGAGCCAAAGCTCCTCCGAAGCTGGAGACGAGCTACGCGGATCCAGTCGATCAACACCTCAGTGACCTCACCCTTGCTGCGCAAGGGGAAGACTGTGGTGTAACGCGAGTAGTCGTCAACCACCAGCAGGAAGTAGCGCTCCTGACCCTGTCCACGGACGCGGGCTGGGCCCCACACGTCCATGTGAAGCGTCTGCAACGGGGCCTCTGTCGGAGGAAACTGGGAGGAGTGAGGGGCAGCACGCTGGCGCCCCTCGACACAGGGGACACAGGTAGGGCCAGGGCCCGGAGGAAGGGGAGGGAGAGACCGGGGAAGACCAGACACAAGGACTCGCGAGGCCATGCCTCTGAGCCGAAGCAGAGAGGGGTGGCCAAGGCGGTGGTGCCAGAGGAGGGTCTCGTGAGACAGACGACGACACGAGCAGGGGGCAGACTCAGGACCAGACCTGGACGCTGCAGCAAACACCTGACCAGACGAAGGGACCCTACCAGACGTAGTACCTGGAGGAGAAGCAGTGGTCAGTGTGTACAGGCTCGACCCTGGTCGACGTGTAAACGTAGCCAGGTGGCGACCTGTATCCGCCTCCGTGCAGTGGGTCACCCGCTGACGAGCAGGGGTGAACTGGTGGACACCCGCATCCTGGAGGTCAGCACCACTCACCAAGTTCGTCGAGAACGAGGGGAGGTAGAGACCAGTCAGGGTGCCAGAGGGGGCCGCCGGACACGGGAGGACAGTGGAGAAGCGAGACAGGACAGGCCCCCCAGAGGGGTCAGCCAGGGACACCGCAACCGGCCGACTCAGCGGCGTGAGAGTGGTGCGGTCCCTAAAGAAGGAGCGAGACGCTCCAGAGTCAAGGGTGAAGGTGTGAGAGGCCGAAGCCGACACAGTACCTGAGAGGGCAGACTCACCAGCACCTGAGAGCACAGACGCACTGGCACCTAGAGCAGCAGCCTCACTAGTACCTGACGCGGCAGTACCAATGCCCGGGTCGGGCGGGAAACACCGGTAACAGTCATCCTCATCACTACCAGTCACAGCATACATAGCAGAGAGAATAGCATCAAAATCAAGATCATAAATAGCTACACCAGCCCCTAGACAGCTCTCCCCAGCGGGGGATCTCAGCGGCCTCCGGAAACTGCTGACGCCAGGCGCCGGTCAGGCGGCCAAAGCAGCGGCGGGCTGTGTGGGCGCCTCCACACCCTCTCCCCTGCACGGTCACCGGTGCGAAGAACGTAGGGGCAGGGACCAAGCGCACCACCCACGCTGACGCTGCAAGTACCACTCACGGAGCTGCTGAGGGGCGAGGACGGTGCGGAGAGCGCTGCTGCTGCTGTGGCTGCTGCTGCGGCTGCTGCTGCTGCTGCTGCTGACGCTGACCACCCCCAGAGCTGCTCCGCTGGGACGAGCCACTCCGACCCCCGCCTCCACCGCCACCCCCACCTCCACCGCCACCCCCGTCTCCACCGCCACTTCCCCCACCAGGACCGTCGCTCCCACCGCTCCCACCGCCTCCTCCGCTACCACCTCCGCCGCCACATCCGCCTCCACCGCCGCCACCAGTACCTCCACTCCCGCCACCACCCCCACCGCCACCCCCACTCCCCCCGCCACCCCCACCGCCTCCTCCACCGCCCCCTCTAGCTCCACCCGCTCCCTTGCCCCCCTTGCCCTTGCCAGAGCGGCGTCTGCCGCTGGGGGCAGACGCCGCGCCGACCGACTCAAAACCAGTGAGGTCGGCCGCAGCGGCAGAGGCGACAGAGGGCAGCAGGGGGGAAGGACCACACCCCTCAAAGATGGGGGTGCGAGGGTCACCCCGAGAGGCCCCTACAGCGACAATACTCTTCTCAGCCGCTAGCAGGGACTCCTCAAGGAGGTCGACAGTGAGAGTGGTGGGACAGACAGAGAGAAACTGGTCCCTAACGACACGAAGGGACTCAGGGAGACGGGTGACGAGAAAGTAGAGAGTGATGTACATGGGAGGAGGGTTCGCAGCGCGGAACTCAGCAGGAAGGGCAGCGCGGTAGCGGGTGTCACTAGCACGGAGGTGGGTAACGAGGTCAGCGACAGTGGGAAAGGAAGCGAGGTCAGGGAAGAGAAACGGTAGCATGAGGCGGCTAAGGGTAGCGGAGGAAGGGGAGGAGTAGCGTGCAACTACAGCGTCGTACAAGGCCTGAGCGGTCTTGCACTGACTAAAGTGGGCACGCTCAGAGGAAGGGAGGTGGCGACGCACAGCAAGACGTGCAGCAGCATCGCGGGTCGCCCACTTGGAGCGAACGGCAGAGTCAGCATCAGCAGGTGGGGCAGGGACAGCGCCAGAGACAAAGTCAAAGAGAGAGACCTCATCTATCGCATCACACAGTAAGTACAGCTGCAGGTCTTCAATCCAGACGGCAAAGTCAATGGCCCTCCCCTCAGCGTCAAAAGTAAGAACATTGGGGGTGGCCATGGCAGCAGCTGAAAGTCTCACCAGGCTGGGAGAGTCGGGTAGGTCAGCAGCAGAGGAACACAGCTCAGGAACAGCAGCACGGCTCCTCAGGCGGCTCGGGCGGCTCGGGCGGCTCGGGCGGCTCGGGCGGCTCGGGCGGCTCGGGCTGCTCGGGCGGCGGCTCGGCTGCAGCTCAGCGGCGGCTCGGCGGCGGCGGCTCGGCGGCGGCTCTGGTGGCGGCGGCTCGGCGGCGGCGGCGGCGGCCCGGCTGCTGGCGGGCGGTTGGCTGCTGCTGGGCGGCTCGGCGGGGCCGCGTAGCAGAGGGCGGCGGTGCCGCGTAGCAGAGGGTGGCGGGGCCGCGTAGCAGAGGGCGGCGGGGCCGCGATCGAAGGGCGGCGGGGTCGCGACCGAAGAGGGCGGCGGGGCCGCGTAGCAGAGGGCGGCGGGGCCGCGTAGCAGAGGGCGGCGGGGCCGCGTAGCAGAGGGCGGCGGGGCCGCGATCGAAGGGCGGCGGGGGCCGCGTAGCAGAGGGCGGCGGGGCCGCGTAGCAGAGGGCGGCGGGGCCGCGTAGCAGAGGGCGGCGGGGCCGCAATCGAAGGGCGGCGGGGCCGCGTATCAGAGGGCGGCGGGGCCGCGTGGCAGAGGGCGGCGGGGCCGCGTAGCAGAGGGCGGCGGGGCCGCGTAGCAGAGGGCGGCGGGGCCGCGATCGAAGGGGGGGCGGCGGGGCCGCGTAGCAGAGGGCGGCGGGGCCGCGATCGAAGGGCGGCGGGGCCGCTAGGGAAGGGCGGCGGAGCCGCTAGGGGCGACACGACGGGTCGCTAAAAAAAAAAAAACGCGCCTCGGGGCGCGGTTCGGTGGGCCCTAGAAGCAGTCCCTAGGAGGGAACCTGCTCTGATTCCATGTGAAATCAAAGAACGAGAATGAATGACTATGAAGTGAAGTGAATACAAATAGGAAACCCTAATTGTGTTGTACCCCCTATGGGATACCCCACTATAGCCTACAGAAACAAGTAAGCTATATGTTCTGACAAAGAGGAAAAGCGAAAGGGGCAGGCAGTTGAGGAGGGGAAAGCTGGAAAAGAGGAGAGGCGAATGTCGAATAAGGAGGGGAGAGGAGAGGATGAAGGGGAGGGGAGAGGGGAGAAAGGTCAGGAGGAGAGAATGGAGGATGCGGTTGAGGGTAGCGAGGAGGACAAGGAGGTGATGGGTGGGGAAGACAAGGTGGTAGGGAGCGAAGGGGACAAGGAGGCCGAGGGCGGGGAGGACGGGGAGGTAAAGAGCGGGGAGGGCAAGGAGGTTGGGGGAAGGGAGGACAAGGAGGTGATGGGTGGGGAAGACAAGGTAGTAGGGAGTGATGTTGAGTGCAATACATGGTTTGCACGGCAACCTACCGCCTATTCGCCGACGGTGAAAGAAAATGGGGAGTTTTTTTTGAAGTTAATTTGTGGCGTGAGAAATGTCATTTCATTTTGCATTTGTGTGTGCGCATTTTGTTTGTGTTCTGTGCCATTCGTCCTTGCATTTTGTGTGTTCTGTTTTCATTTGTAATTGCATTTTGTGTTTGTGCATTTTAAGTTTCGTGTTCACTGTTCTCATGATGCGCTCAAATGAGGCTCACATGATGCGCTCAAATGAAGCTCTCATGAAGTGCTCAAATGAGGCTCCCATGACGCGCTCAAATGAAGCTCAAATAAAAGCTCAAACGAAAGCTCTCATGAAACTCCAATGAGCCGCAAATGAGCTTCCCATGAAAGTCTCATTTGGGTGTAATGTTTCATGGATGGCTCATGCGAGCGAGTGGTGTATCGTGGTCGTGGGGTGTTTGTGGGGCTCGATACTTTGACTGGTCAAAGGGGGTGCTGTTGACTTTCACGCTGGTCAAGCACGCAAAATCTTGACCGCGCTTGTGGTCCTGATTTCACGTGTGGGCCCTGAGGATCCGAGCGTGTGCTCACGAACTGTTTACGAGCGTGGCAGGGCCCACGATCACAACAAGACAGCGTGAATGATCGCCTTGCACACGCGCAGTACACAACGACGGGTTTGTCTGGTCGTGAATGATTGCGCACTTGAGGGGTGCGCGTGTGTTCGAGTGGGTGCTGCGGGATTCCGAAGGGTGCTCGGAATTTACTGCTGAAAAACTGTTTTCGGAGTTGACTCACGGAACAAGAAATTGCACACGAAAGTAACACCTCTTTGCGGAATAATATCGACGCGGGTACAAAACGGTTATTCCGTTTTCTCAACGGTAAAAACCGTTTTACAGCTGTTTGCTTGCATGAAATTCATGAATGCCAAATTGGAGCTACATTGGAACTCATTTGAGTCAGCAAGGTAATTGTCATAGGTGGAATTTTAAAACCCGCGTCCCAAATTGCGGGCCGCGAGGGTCAAGTTTTTAAAACTTGACGAAGTTGAGTGTCCAAGCTTTTGAAAGTCACGCACTTGCAATTTGGGACTTTCGAAGACAGATTCACTCACCAGGGGGAAAACCGAGGGCTGGCTGGGTCTCGCGAAAAAAACGAACCTAGACGAAATCGGAAAATCTCGGCCAAAGCCCACACCAGAAAAACTCCCTCTGGTCAACTTTTAAAAGCATGAACAATTTGGCCGCCGGCTTTAAGACAGATATTTTCAAGAGGAGGAATCAAGCCGAATCGCATAGAGTTTTCTAAGACAGCAAGGCGAAATTCTAGAGTGCAGTTAAATAACTGTTTCGCTATTTTCCTTTGCTTGTATGTGAGACGAAATATAAAACGTGTGCTTGTGCTTGATTTTTTCTCAATCCTTTCTAGTGAAAATATTTTCTGAATTTCTTTGGCGACTTAACTTGCTCTATCAACGTATTGACGTGAAGAACCTTTTCTGCACACGACCCAATCGATCGTCAACGCTGCGCAACTCAGAGTGGGACTACTCTAGTACTCTCGATTAACGATATACTAAGTAATTCCCTCTACAAACACGGACCCTTGGATGGGGGCTGGTTTACCATGCACCCAAGGACCCTTGGAGGTGACTCCGTAGAGATTATTAAGTGTGTGTTTATCCGTGTATAGAGCCTTCTAGATCCAATAGTTGTTAACAAGTGAGGAGGACGGGTGTCAACGGGAGTTGTGTGTTGGCCCCGTCCTCGCTTGGGCGGAGCCGACTTCGTGATCGGATGTGAGGGGAGCAGCCGACCCTGCAGCAGTGGGCGAGCTGGTTGACGAGGAGGTCGACCTGCACGGGAGCCATTGCACGGGGGCCGACTTTGGGGGTGGCGCCCGACTTCAGGGAGGTCGGCCTGGGAAGTCGACCTGCGTGAGGACGTCAACTTGGTGACGTCAACTTGGGGCAGCCGACCTTCGGTGGTCGGCTGACGGACTGCTGGTCGACCTGGTGGTTGGTCGACCACGCCTGTTGGTCGACCTGCTGGTCGTTGACCTGACCTGGTGGTCGACGAAGGAGGGACCGATGTCTGACCTCGACTCAGGCCACCGAGCAGTTGGGCGTCGAAGTAGCAGGGCGTCAACTTGGTGACGCCGACTTCGGGTAGCAGATCTTGGTGTGGTCGGCTGACAACTGCGATGGTCGACATGAAGCTGGGTCGACCAGGAATGCTGGGTCGACGTGGAGCTCGCCACGAGTGACGTCGACCTGGAGCTGGTCGACCAAGGGTGTGGTCGACCTAGCGAGGTCGACTGGAGGTGGTCGTCGACCTGGGAGGTCGATGGGCACATACAGGAGCAGCTGGTCGACGTGGTTGCCAAGTCGACCAGGTTACCTGGGTGACAAACTCCTGCGGAGGAGTGCGACGGTCGCCCAGGCGAAGTTGGCGAGCCCGACCTCGGGGGTGGTATCCCGAGGTCGACATGGCGGATTCAAGTGGAGTTGTCAGCACGAGGATGACTTGGTGTGTGCGTTGTGCAGGTGACGAGGCTCAGCCCGCCAATCATCTGCGAGCACCTGCAAAGCGGTGTGCGCTGCTGTTCGGCGGGGAGCAATGCTGGCACGCCGTCCAACCTGCGACGTTGGCACGCCGTCGACTTTGCCACTCCTGGAGCGCGCTAGACCAAGTCGTGCTGGAACGCGGTCGACCGTGCTGCGCTGGCAGTCGACCGACCTGAATGCTAGCTCTGCATGTAGTCTAGCCGTGCCAACTCTATTGTACCATTGTTGTCACCTTTCTTTAGTGAAACTCTTGCTATTCTCCCTGTAAACTAGCAACCTGTGTGTACACTAGGAAAACAACTAAGGACCAACGAACGCATAGATCACACGAGCACCCGTGCCTAGCCCGTAGTCTAGCTCCCATTGTAGTAGTTATCTCCGCATGGTGCGGTGAGCGTGGACGGCACACGACTTACCTTTCAGTCAGGTGGACGTAGAGGCCACTTACCTAAGTTGCTCGTAGGCCGGCAGCCGTACAGGTCCCTAGCGTGAGCGTAGGTGACGCCAAGGGTATGGACACACTGGAGGGACGGCTGGAGGATGCGAGGAGACGCCATGAGGCCCAGGAGTACGAGGCGATACCCTGGGCGGTCGTCGAGGCTAGACTCCGCTCCATGTGGGCGACGGAGCATCCCCCTTCCCGACCAGATTCTCCTCGACCGGTGACCAACGAAGGCGGCGTCGATGTGGGCGTCAACGCCGGAGGTGGCCAAGTCGGCAGCAGTGCGGGAAGCACGTCGAGACAGCGTGGTGTGATACACGCCGATAAAGTCGGCAGCGTTCAGGCGCGAGGGGTGCGATCGTCGGCGGCTGCAGGCTCCTTGCAGGGTGATGTCTGAGGTTAACGAAGTAGAATGTCGCCGATGTCGGCGACACAAGGTGACGGCAGGCGGGATAGCACCGAAGCTACGGCTACTTCAAGCTTACGCCGGACAAGATCTTGGTCACCCGCCACTCACCCGTGTCGACCTGACATTCTCACCTGGAAGGAGGCCATCGAGCCTCAACTGGAGATGGCCGGGCTGATTAGCTTTGCTCGAGGCACCGTGACGACGCCAGACGACCCGGACTTGTGTGCAGAGTTTCGCGCCGTGCAGCTGTTGACCTTCACGGTCATCTCGCAGTGCTACTCACCATGCGTGCAGATCGTCCTTTAAGTGGTGTCGGGAGTACCTCGACGCATGCCACCAAGCGTGGCACTTCATCGAGTCGACCTACCAAGTCACCGACGACTTGTTCATCGCCAGGTGGAGGGAACATCTGACGCACCTGCGTCATGGGCGACGAGGAGGACGGCGACCAACTACTGCAAACCGGGCCCGGCGAATTCTCGCCACCATCAGGACGGCCGGCGCGCAAGTACTGACAGCGTTCGTACGTCACCCATGTCATGCAGGGAACTCTCAAGAAGCTACAACCTCCTGAAGTGGCTGTCAATGGCGCCGAGCACGAGGTCGATGCTCAACGAGGACAACTTGACCTCGTACATCCTACAAGACGAGGCGATGCAGGAGGCAGAGCGGTCATAGGAGCTCTTGGCGCAGGTGAACTTTGTCGCCCGGCTATACAAGGAGGTCGACCGGGGCAGCGCGGACAGTCTGGCGGCGGTGGTAGTAGTGGCTGGAAGTCGGCCAAGGAGGTCGACAAGAAGAAGTCGACCAAGGACAGCGGTCGGGGAGGAGGAGGTCGATGTCGGGAGTGCTGGCTCTGCGGCGACCCCGACCATCTCTTCTTCGAGTGCCCCAACCGCAGTGACTCCGACGTAGACGACGCCAAGGGAGGCCGTGGGAGGTCTGGCAGCCGTCGTCCTCGTCGTGGAGGAAACCATCCGCGCAAGGAGAAGCAGTCGACCAAGACGTCGACTTCGGCAAAGGACGCCGGCTCCTCTACTAGCGGCAAGGCGCGGGACGACAAGATAGCATCGTGCTCGCTGGTCGGCGTCGTGGAGCCGACCGTCTCGCTGGCGCCAGAGGCCGGAGAGGACTTCCAGGCGGTGGCGGCACCTGTGCAGGCGAACTCGGCAGTGGTCCTGCTCGACAGCGGTTGCTCCCACCACCTGATGGGGATGAAGGAAGTCTTCGTCGACCTGTAGCCGAGTGGCTCCATTAAGCATGTGCGCGGCTTCAATGGGGCGCTGCAGGACGTCCAGGGCCGTGGCACCGTCGCCCTGCAAGGAGAGGCCGGGAAGCAGGTGCTCATCCCCGACGTGCTATACGTCCTGGGTGTGCGGGCAAACCTGCTGTCGTCCCGGCCAGCTGAAGGAGCACGGCGTGAAGCTACAGGAGGACGGAGACGGAATGCTGCTCGTCTCGGCAGCTGGAGAGGTGCTTGGTCGGGCAACGTACTCTGGACGAGTCCTCTGCACCGACCTGCGTCCCTGCTCAACGAGGTCGACGTCGACCACGCCGGAGGTTGTGGCCGTGCAGGCGATCGTCTCGAAGACGAAGTCGACGCCGAAGAGGATGCATGCGAGGCTTGCGCATGTAGGCATGGACACCATTCAGAGCTCGGCGAAGAACGAGGTCGCCATTGGGCTGGACATCAAGTCGGCGACGAGCGCTGACTCACCGTGTGTCTCGTGCGTCGGCGGGAAGCTGGCGCGGCACACCTTCCCCAATCAAGGCTCCGACGCTGACGACGTGCTGGCCGTCGTGCACATCGACTTATGCGGGCCATTC